ACCTATCCTACGTGATGAGACCGCCATCTACAGTTGCCTAAAAACAACGTCTCATAAAATTTTTTGCAATGGTTGAGGTCCTGGTTTATTTTAGTGTTGCCATTTTCCAGTGCTTGGCGATATATCCTGTCATGCCTATTTTTGTGTTATCCTCACGTGTTGAAGTTGGTTATTAGAATGATAGGAGGCTTCGGATGCATTTCATCTAAAAGGAAGATGTAAGCCTGAAAATGTCAAACAATGTTTTTAGGGCTATAAGAGCATTGATTTTGAATATTATTATTATGAATATTATTTTTCTATAACTATAAAATCGTGAATTTTTTAAAAATATTTTTTTCGAGTCCTACAAAATTGTGGATTTTTAGAAACAGTTTTTTCTAAGACTTTCAGAGCCTGAATTTGTAAAGAATATTTTCTGTGTAAGGATATAGTGGAAAAGGAGGATGAAAAAAATGCGAATATCGATTTCATATCTTTGAGGACCCTATCTCAAATCTTATGAGCGACAATTTTGCAGAATATTTTCATGTCGAAAAATCTCTTATTATGGTATTTAGTTTACGTATCAAGCAAATGAGGACGAAAATTACGCACAAGGACTCGTGATAGAAGGAGGATTTGTTTTACAAAAATATTCCGTATTGGATGTGACTGAAGACATGTCATCTCAAAAATAACCTGCAATGGCCGCAAACGATATAAACCTTTTCATTCGTGAAATTTTATCATTTCATACCTCAAAACTTGACCTATAGTGAATTTATACTATTAGGTTATTGGCAAGCTCATTCATCCCCATAAGAAAATTTCCACTCTTCAGACCATGAGCTCCATTTTGTTCCACATTGCAATATAACTTTCAGTTTCAAAAATAATGCCCAAAATCCAAACCAGAGATTTTGATTACGTAAAAAATGCGAGGGAGAGTTGATTACTTCAACACGGCCATGTAAGGAAAACTATTTTCTGTCAGCTAAATTGTTGTGTTGTGTGTACAATGAAGCGTGTTTATGTTTGGTGACAAACAAATTTGTTGGCTGCTGTTGTTTTATGGAGTTTTCTTTTTTTTAATTATTTTGAAAACATACAATTTATTTTCCAATACAACACAAACCGGCAGCTGGAATGACCAAAAAAACGCATGTATTAGAGGGACAAAAACATTACAAAAATCTAACAATTAATCAAGGAAAACACCAACACTTTTTCTCTGTCTTTCTCCCGCTCCCTCGAGATTTAAACATAAAACAAAATTGTTTTTAAAACGGACACTTAGGAATTTTGCTATTTTGTTTAAAGTATTCAGCTATTTTTGGAGTTTGAATGTCTAACTAACTGACATGTCAAGCACTACAACATTGGAAGAAAGCGAAAAAACCCGGGAGTCAAAATAGAGACCAACAAAATAATGTTTACATTGAAATAAAAAATCCAAACTTCATTTTATCGATCATGATTTGAACGAATTGCTGTGCTTGCTTGCCTGCTTTGTTGTCTTATAATTTTCACTTCTGGCAAACTTTAAACTAAATTAGGAAATTGAAAGCATGTTGCAAAATGCAGTTGGTTTTTTTTATTTTGTTTCTAATACACATTTTAACACCACCATGTGAACACAGACAGACACAAAACACGTTATTGCAATTTTGATGTCAATTGTAATTATTCACACTAGAAATCGAAATGAATCGCATGTAACAAGACATATGTATATCGTCGTCGATATACACACTCACTCGAACTCCACGTATTCGTACAGGAAAAAGTGTTAACTCTTAACTTCATAGTTAGTAACACTTGCGGAGGTTTTCTGTATTGTGTGGACTAGGAATTACGTTTATTTTCTTATAAGATCTTTGTGTTACAGTTGTTTCACACTTTGTTAGGCTGCAGGAGGAAAAAAACTACAACTGACCAATAAAAACACTAATCAATAGATTTGGTATGGAAATATTGGAAAACCAAAAAATTGGATAATTTTCCGTGATTTTTCATTGAGGAAAATATGAGAAAAACATTGTTGCATGAATACTGCAAAAGCACGTTGCAATTTACTATTGGTTAGACTTAGGCGTTTAAGAGTAATAAATGAACATCTATTATTATTATTTAAATTCTGGATCTTGAAAAAATTAAATCAATATGGCCTTACATTATAGCTCCTTCGCTTTTTTGGGGGCTAAGGAGTCAATGAGAATATATTAATTAGTCCTTTTTACTTGGTCTGCTATTCCCTGTCTTAGCTGATGGGACTGTCATCTATCGTTATCTAGAAACAACGCCTCCCGCAGTTTTATGCAGTGGTTGGGGTCCTTGCTTATTTTTTCTGTATCCTGTTACTTTTCTTGAGGGTATAGGGCTTCCACGAGGCATAACCATCTTACTGATTAGTACTTTCAAGCTAAATAGATGTAGCCTGTCCTAGATGTCATCTATAGGTGTCTAAAAACAACGCCTCTTAGAAATTTGTGCAGTGGTTGGGGTCCTGACTTATTATTTTCCCTCTTGTTACTTCTCTTGAGGGCATTGGCTTTCACGAAGCTATCTTACTGATTAGTCCTTTTCATTCTAGCTAAATAGATTGGTCTGCTTCTAGGTTATGATGCTGCCATCTATCGTTGCCTAGAAACAATGCCTCCTAGAATTTTTTGCAGTGGTTGGGGTCCCGACATATTTTTTTTAGTCTCACTTGTTACTTTTCTTAAGGTCTTAGGGCTTCCGCGAAGCATAGCCATCTTTCTGAATAGTCTTTTTTATTCAAGCTGAATATATGATGGGTATGCTCTTGCTCGTCCTAAGTGATGGCGATGCCATCTATCGTTGTCTAGAAATAATAAACACAACATCTTACCGATGAATCATGCCAGCTAAGCAGATGATTGATCTTCTGTTACCTAACCCAGGTGATGGAAGTGCCATCTGTTGTTGCCTAGAAACAACGTCTTCTAGAATTGTGTTCAATGGTTGGGATCATAGATTATTTTAGTGTTGCAATTTTCTTCTGGATGGCGCTATATCCTGCCTTCGAAACATTTCATCTTCAAGGGAGATGTAAGCCTCATTTTACTTGGATTCGAACCCGGGCCACACAATTTGATTTAAAAAAAATTCTTAAATTTTAAGGAAGATTTTTGCGAGACTATCTGGGCCGCAAGGCGTGGATTTTTAAAGAAAATTTTTTGTAGAACTATCCAAGCCACAAGGCGGGGATTTTTAAAGAAGATTTTTTGTAGAACTATCCAAGCCACAAGGCGGGGATTTCTAAAGAAGATTGTTTGAGAGACTAATCCAAAGCGTTAAATTTTTAAGCAGTTTTTTTGAGGGACTATCAAAGCCTCAATGCGTGGATTTTTAAAGTAGATTTTTTGTGGGACTATCAAAGCCAAAAACCGTGGATTTTTAAAGTAAATTTTTGGGGGACTATCAAAGGTACAAAGCGTGGATTTTAAAAGTACATTTTTGTGGGACTAGCAAAGGCACATAGCGTAGATTTTTAAAGTAAATTTTTGAGGGACTATCAAAGGCACAAAGCGTGGATTTTAAAAGTACATTTTTGTGGGACTAGCAAAGGCACAAGGCGTAGATTTTTAAAGAAATTTTTTGGGGGACAATCAAAGGCACAAGGCATGGATTTTAAAATAATACTTGTTAAGGGGCTATCAGATCCACAAGGCACATAGGGTGTCAAATATTCCGGTTTGGTACAGTTCTCTTATAACAGTACCGCATCACTTTCGGTATTTTGAAGGTTTTAGCTCAAAATACCGTAGATGTATGTGCTTACAAAGCCCCCACATAAAGGTCCCGCCCTTTTTTTGGTACTTTTAATGTTCTAGCAACATTTTCGTAATGCTGTGGATTTATCTTGGCATTTAGGGTTCATGGAGGGTGAAAACCATATATGCCGAAAATATTCAATATAAGTCCATAACCCGCATATAGGAGCGGAAATAAAATCGACTGCCTCGGTTATTCATGCTGAAGATCCTGAAAATGATCCGGTTGTATATTCCATTGTATCCGGCAATGATTTGCGGCAATTTGCTGTGGGCCAAGAGTCGGGTGTTATTTCCGACTTGTGCAAAGGCACAAGGCGTAGATTTTTAAAGAAATTTTTTGGGGGACAATCAAAGGCACAAGGCATGGATTTTAAAATAATACTTGTTAAGGGGCTATCAGATCCACAAGGCACATAGGGTGTCAAATATTCCGGTTTGGTACAGTTCTCTTATAACAGTACCGCATCACTTTCGGTATTTTGAAGGTTTTAGCTCAAAATACCGTAGATGTATGTGCTTACAAAGCCCCCACATAAAGGTCCCGCCCTTTTTTTGGTACTTTTAATGTTCTAGCAACATTTTCGTAATGCTGTGGATTTATCTTGGCATTTAGGGTTCATGGAGGGTGAAAACCATATATGCCGAAAATATTCAATATAAGTCCATAACCCGCATATAGGAGCGGAAATAAAATCGACTGCCTCGGTTATTCATGCTGAAGATCCTGAAAATGATCCGGTTGTATATTCCATTGTATCCGGCAATGATTTGCGGCAATTTGCTGTGGGCCAAGAGTCGGGTGTTATTTCCGTTATTCGAAAACTGGATCGTGAAAGTTTGACCCGCTACCAACTGATTGTCAAGGCAGCGGATAATGGCGGTTTGTCCAGCAGTGCAACTGTCAATATTAAGGTTACGGATATCAATGATAAGAATCCCGAATTCGATGAATCCGATGAACCCGCATATAGATGTTCCGCCTTATTTCCGGTAATTTGAAAGTTTTATCCGAACTTGTCAGCCCATGTGGTTGTCATTTCCGCGTTCTCAAAGAAGATTTTCGATATAGGTCCGTCTTATGACATATGATAAAGGTTTAGATTCGAAGTGGCTGTAATATGACCTAGTCGAACTTTCACTTGTTCATATTGTATTCATATCCCATTATTTTAATTCGATCAATTCTCACATCTCCTTCCCTTGTGTTTCTCTTTCCAGGATCGCGCTCGCAACGTTTCCGAGCGGCTAACATCAACCACCACACTCACAGTGAATATAGCCGATTCGGATGATTTGGATCCCTCGTTCATCTATCGTAATTGTGTTCTATTGGATGGAGCATGCATTAATCCCGAATATACCGCCTCAGTGCCTGCCGGCTCACTACAAGGTGTCCTAACCGTTACTCCCGAAAGAATACAAGCTGTGGACTTGGATACTATCAGTGCACCAATACGTTATTCATTTGCCAGTGGTATGCCTGGAAATTATGCGGATTATTTTGAAATTGATGAACAGACGGGAGTGTTGAAACAAATCAAAGCTGTGGATACCTCGACTGCGAAGCGATATGACATTATTGTCAAGGCGGAGGAAGTGTCAATGATTAAGAGATTTACTACGGCGAAATTGACAATAAATGTGAAGCCTGTTGATGCCAATCCGCCGGTAATTTCTGCTAGCTCCATTGTGGGCTTTGTTGATGAAAACTCCCCCTTGGGTACAAAAGTTTTAGATGAACATGGCAAACCGATTAGCTTTAAGACCAGTGATGCTGATTTAACAGAAGATGATCCGAAACCGGACTACATTTATGAATTGACTACACCCTCATTTGAGGTAACTTCCGAAGGTGTTTTGGTGGTCAATGAAGAAGGTCTGGATCGTGATCCCCCGGCACCGGGTAAATATAAATTCCAAGTTGTGGCCCGAGAACCCAAAACAAACGCCGCCAGTGCACCGCTGAGTTTGACTGTGATTTTGAAAGATGTCAATGACAATGCACCGAAAATTTCAATGGTCCCACCCGTATCCATTACCGCCGGAGATGGTGTACGTAAGCTGGCCCAGGTATCGGCAACAGATAATGATGAGGGTGCCAATGCCGCTATTACCTATTCCATATACCACGTTTCCAATAATGGTCTGCAAAAGTTCACCATTGATGAGCAAACGGGAGAAATTGAAACCCGAGGTCGCCTATTGGCTGGAGAACAATATAGTATAACGGTACAGGCCACCGATGTTGGGGGTTTGTCGTCACAGGCTATTGTGGAGGTTACTGTTACACCGGGACCGAATACAAAACCACCGAAATTTGTGAAGTCCGTCTATGAGGTGCAGGTGAGCGAAGGAGCCGAAATTAATTCCACTGTCTCGGTTATCCATGCTGAAGATCCTGAAAACGATCCGGTCGTCTATTCCATTGTATCGGGTAATGATTTGCGGCAATTTGCTGTGGGACAAGAGTCGGGGGTTATTTCTGTAATTCGCAAATTAGATCGTGAAAGTTTGACCCGCTACCAATTGATTGTAAAGGCAGCGGATAATGGTGGTTTGTCCAGCAGTGCAACTGTCAATATTAAGGTAACCGATATCAATGATAAGAATCCGGAATTTGATGAATCCACCTTGCCCTATGTCTTCCAAGTTGATGAGGGCCGCGAACAGGCATTTGTCGGCATTGTCCACGCCACCGATGCTGATGAGGGTATCAATGCTGAAATTACCTATTCCATACCTCAGGATATACCATTCTCCATTAATGGTAGCTCCGGAGAGATAAGGACATCTAAGGCCTTGGATTATGAAAAACAAAATGAATACCGTTTTGTGGTCACAGCTAAGGATGGGGCACCAGATGCCCGCCTGGGAACGGCCAGTGTTACGGTACAGGTCCGGGATTTACCAGATGAAGTACCGAAGTTCACCGATACCCATATTGATGTTAAGGTCCCAGAAAATGAGCCAGATTTTTTGGTGGCCACGGTGCAAGCCTATGATCCTGATACTATTCCGGATATAACCTATGTGATACGTAAGGGAGAAACAGAATTCTTTAAGGTTAATCCTGCAACAGGAGAGATTCGAACCACTAAGGGATTGGATTATGAGAAGCAGAAAACCCACGAATTGATTGTGGGCACAATTGAGAATGATGAAAATGGTCCTGGAGATACGGTGAAAGTTGTGGTGGATGTGGAAGATCGTAATGATGTTAGGCCCGTTTTCGTTTCCGTACCCGAACCCGTTACCGTCAATGATGATCAACCAATTGGTGCCATGATTGCCACGATGCCAGCCATAGATGGTGATGGTTCATCCCCAGGTAATGTGGTACGTTATGAAATTGTCGGTCGCGGTAAGGCATTGAAATATTTCCAAGTTGACCCCGATACGGGAGCCATACGCATTCGAGATGAGTTACGTAAGGAAGAGGATACTGAGTACCAGGTGGATATTCGTGCTTATGATATGGGTGAACCCCAACTGAGTTCAGTGGCCACCTTGCCGGTATTCGTTAGACACCTCCTTACCGATCCCAATGAAGATAGTGCCATGGAAGGACGCACCGATAATGGTGTCATTACCTCACCCGAAAGCCTCGGTTTGGCCTTTAGTGATGATAGCTATACGACTGGGGTTCCTGAGACCACTGGTATCAATGCCACCATTAAACTCATCCAGGTTATTAATTCGAAAAAATCGGTCAAATCGAATCCTGGTTTTAAATGTGAAATAATTGGAGGAAATGAATGGGGTCTCTTCAATGTTACCCAAGAGGATCATGGTTGTGGTATACAGCTGATAAAACATTTGGATTATGAAAATATGACCACATTCTCGTTGGATTTGCGTTTGACCTCCCACAAGTATTTCATTAATCCTCAGAAGAGTACAACAACGGTTAAGATTATTGTGCAGGATGAGAATGATAATGCTCCGGAATTTATTTTTAATCGGGCTCGCGGCCGTAAGGATACCTTTTATGGTGTGGTTAGTCCTGAAATGGACATAGATACACCAATTTTGCAAGTTCGAGCCACTGATCGGGATTCTGGTAAATTTGGAATGATCCGTTATAAGCTCTATGATGAGGAGGATAATAATGTCAATAATGAGAATTTGGTGAGTATAGATTTTGGAATAAATCTGAAGGGTATAGTTATTTTATGTTTAATTTTTCTCCCCTTAGCCCTCCACCTATTTCACCATGACCGAGGACACTGGCATCTTACGCACTGCCAAATTATTCCGCGACGAAGCCCAATTCCCCATGATTTTCTATGTAGAGGCCAGAGACAATGATGGCCAGGAAATGGGTTCCCATCGCACCCGAGCCCGTATTGTCATCAATAAAATTACCGATCTGCAACGTCATTCGCTATTCTTCTCTGATGCCACACCCAATGAGCTACGTAATCATTATGCCGCTCTGGAGGAATTGTTCTCTGAAAAGACCGGAGGTCTCATTAGCGGTATTGAAAGATTTAGTAATCGTAAATTTTTAAATGAAAATGGTACCATATTGGAAAATCCCGCTGCCACGGATGTTTGGTTCTATTTGATTGATCCCAAGACGGAAAAGATTCTGCCACGTAATGCCTCAGTGGTGCAAGAGACATTATTAGAACCCACAGCAAGTTCGGAGATTATTTTCGCTGCCTCATCGAAAACCCGGGCCACTGCAGAGGGTATTTATGCACCCATTGAAATGAAACAACAGGTCCACAAGGTACGTTCAGGAAATCCATTTCAATCTGAAAAAATATATATAAAGTTGTTTTTTCTACAGGTCAAGGCCGCCATTGCCATTGATGATGAAGTATTCCCCTACACCTTGATAGCCATTTCAATAATTATTTTAATTTTGGGTATTATTGGTATTATCTACATATGTATCTCCTGGTCCAAGTAAGTTTGAGAAACCTATGTTCAATTTAATCAATAAATAATAATTTCCAACTTTTATTACAGATACAAAAACTTCAAACAACGCATGCGTCAATATTCCACTCCAAGCCCCACACGTTATGATCCGGTCATTGTCAACTCTCAGGCCTCAAATGCCGGCGACACGGTAGCCAATCTGAAGGAATATGAAACCCAAGTTCTAGCCATGGCTGTACCACCAGATGGTGATGATGAATTGCAACTGGATTTCAGTGCCAAAAATCATGCCTTCTCTTTGGACAATGTTAGCTATATTACCCACAAGGAACACAATGGTAGTTCAAGTGGTGGCCAAACAAGTCCATCCCATTCCGAGGCCACAACTGCCACCATTGCCACCCTGCGAAGGAATAATAACAACAATAATCTAAATAATATGTCCGCCAATAATAATATCAACAACAACAATAATCACAGTACCATGAATAATCGTCAAAACACCTTCAATCGTACACTCGAGATGAATGCCCGTAATAATGCCAACCCGCTGGCAGCAAATGGTACCCTACCGGGCACCCTCACTTTGGGTCGCATTAAACATCAAAATTCCAATCATTATCAAAATGGTGGCTATAAAATGGATAGTGTTAGTCGTAATAATTTGGCAAATTTACAAAATAATGCCTACAGCACCTTGGGTCGGAGGGGTAATACATTTGGTAATAATTCCAATTTGAATGGTGGCCTCAATGGTGATCTTAGTGGTGGTAATGGAGAGCTAATGACAAACACGTTGGGGAGAAATCATCAACAGCCGCAGCATAATATTCAGAGGGGTTATAATGAGGTCCCGATAACAAATCCATTGTTTCAGAGGTAAGTTGGAGGAGTCGAGAGAATATATACGTTCGTAAAAACGTATAAATTTGCAATTTCAAGTGACAATTTATAGACGATGTCATTAGGACCGAATCAAGGGACCCAATAATCACCTTAAACTTGCCTTTACTTGCATTTTTAATCGACTTTCTTAGCTGGCTCGAGACTAGTCTTGGGCAATCTCGTTCAGAACAGTGATCGAGCGAACTAGGTCCCTTTTTTTAAAATAGAACTAGTCCGTTCACCTCGTTCAGTTACCCTATGTCGTTCAAATGGTCACTCAGTTCAATTGATATTGCATTAAAGCTGCCAGTTCCATCAACCGAAAAGAATGATGTCCTTTCCCAATCATTCAATGAACTTGAAATGAAAGAGAGACCAAGGTAAGCCTGGGCTTTGCCATGTTAAAGCAATCAGGCCCGTTTCTTGGTATCTATCATCTCCTACACGCGGCTCACTATCGTGATTCCAATACAATTTAAATATACACAAGTCGTCCTTGAATAGTCCTTGTATTTTGTGAACAAAGTACAGGTCGCATTTATGATCCGATTTGGATTAAATTTGGCAAAGGTCACTTATTTGGCCCAAGGACGAACCCTATTGAAATTAGAAAAAAACGGTTCAGATTTAGATATAGCTCCCATAAAAATGTTCGTCTGATTTAATGAAAATGGTGCATCTTTATATCTTTCGATTTGCACGAAATTTGGCACAGCATAACGAATTGGGTCTAGAATGATGTGTGTTAAGTTTCGTGAAAATCGGTTCAGATTTCGATATAGCTCCCATATATATTTTCGTCCGATTTTATGTAAATGGAGCACAAAGTCCCTAAATATCTTTCGATTTGCACAACATTTGGCACAGCGTAATGAATTAGGTCTAGAATAATGTGTGTTAAGTTTCATGAAAATTGGTTCAGATTTAGATATATCTTCCATATATATTTTCGTCCGACTAAAGGTAAATGATGTACCAAAGTCCCTTAATATCTTTCGGTTTGCACGAAATTTGGCACAGCGTAATGAATTAGGTCTACAATGATGTGTGTTACGTTTCCTGAAATCGGTTCAGATTTAGATTTAGCTTCTATATCTGACCGAATGAAAAAATTAGTATCGGTTGCAGAATGGCATGTTTATGGATCCAATTTCATTTTACTGGTCTTTAAAAATGCGACGTCTGTTAGGATTCATCTGTTGAATATACCCAAAGTGGTGAAGGATATAGTCGGCCCCGTCCGACTTGACTACTTTCCTTACTGATTTTAAATGTTATTTTTTATTATTAACCAACTATTATAATTGTTTTATTAATCTTCTTTTCCAGATCCAATGGCGATCTATCCCACCTAAGTCCCACCAATGAAAATGTTACATTTGGCAAACGTGATTATGGTCAAATGGGATTTTCCTACCTAAACGATTTGGATCGTTCCGAAGTCGAAACAACTACAGAATTATGAAAATATTTCAAAGCATACGATACGAATGAAATCAATCAACTAAACAAAATATCGAATCGAATTATAATCCCCCAAGAACAAGCCAAAATACAATTTTAAAAAAATAGTTTAGTTAATAAAATAAAAAATATATAACATTTAAAAAATAAAAACTTTAGAAGAAACAAAAACGAATGCAATAATAATTAATTTAGGAATTACAAAAAATAAAAGAAATTGAATTAATTTTATACAAAAGTTGCCATTAAGTTTATAGTATACATTTTTTGTAAATAAATTCCGAAAAAAACTAAGACTTTTCTTTAGAAAATAAATAAATAATAAACAAACACTGTAAAATGAATAACAATCTGCAAATAATAATAACAAATTATAATATTTATAAAATAGTCATTAGTCTAATAAGTTGTGATTTTATATATAAAAACAATTAATGTAATTAATTCACACAAAAATGAAATAAATTTTTAGAAATTATATTTTCAATATGAAATAGATATATAAAACTTTTGTATAAAGTAGGTTTTCTATAAATACTTTTATGCCTATTCCCTATTTCTATCTATATGTATAAATGTATATGTTTAACCATATAATTGTTATATACGTATACTTTAGTTTTATCATAGATTTATTAAATTTAGTTGTTTTTTTAGATAATTATAAAAACAAAATATTTAGTGCAACAAAATGTCTATAAATTTGTGTAAATGTTTTAAATTTATTGCAACAATCAAATAAATGTGTAGACAATTTTGTTTCTGTACACTAAGTAAAAAAACTATGGAACACGTGTCAAATTATCATATGTAAACGTAATTCGAAATGTATATTAAGCTCAAATGTATGTGTAGAGAAAAAAATAAATTAATTTTTATGAATGAAAAAATAATGATTTTTATTTTCTCAAAAAAGGGCGGAAAACAAGTGGTTTTCGAGTAAAAAGGTTCAAAACTTGTAAAAATAGAAGATTCTTTTAGGTTCTGGAACGGAACTATAAATGAAATTTTACGGCTTTACATAACTAACAGTGAAAGAATCACTAAAATATCTCCATCCATTGCCGAGATATAACTATTTGAAGTTTGCCTTAAATCATTGGATAGTTGCTACACAGTGCTGGTCGCCTATTACCTCAAAATTCCCTACTGAAGAAATTGTACTTTTCGTAAAATCTGACTGAGTTTTCAGGGCAATTTTTCGGCAACCAAAATTTCACCAAAATCACTTTGAGGTACTAGGCGACCAGCAATGCGTAGCAGCTATAATTTGGCACAAGGTACAATTCAAATGCGTATATCTCCGCTATGAATGGAGGTATTGCTATGAAACTTGCATTATTAGTTAGAAAGAATTTTCTAGTTTTTCCCTGAGCTAAATGAAATGAATTCCTCTAAAATAACTTAGAAAATATCATATTTAATAAGTTTAATCAAATAAGCTTCATTAAGAATCAAAATCAAAAGTCCGAATATATAAATGAAAAGTTACGGTGTTATCTTAACTAACAGTGTTAGAATCACTAAAGTATGTCCATCCATTGCCGAGAAATGCCAACTTAAAGTTTGCCTTAAAAAAATTGTACTTTTCGTAAAATCTGAAATTTCAGGGCAAACAATTCAAGTACGTATATCCCCGCAACGAAAGGAGGTTTGCCATGAAACTTGCATTATTAGTTAGAAGGAATTTTCTAGTTTTTCCCTGAGCGAATTCGAAAGGAATCCCTGTATTATAATTTTGAAAAAAAAACATATTAAATAAATTTAATCAAATAAGGTTCTGTAAAAATCAATAAAAACTCCGAAAATATAAATGAAATGTTACGGCTTTACCTTAACTAACAGTGAAAGAATCACTAAAGTATCTCCATCCATTCCCGAGAAATAACTATTTAATATTTGTCTTAAATCATTTTATAGCTGCACACAGTGCTGGTCGCCTATTACCTCAAAATTCCCTACTGAAGAAATTTTACTGAATTCGAAATGACAAGAATCAAAATCAAAACTCCGAACATATACATGAAATGGTACGACTTAACCTTAACTAACAGTGAAAGAATCACTAAAGTATCTCCACCCATTGCCGATAAATAACTATTTAAAGTTTGACTTAAATCGTTGTATAACTCTACATCGTGCTGGTCGCCTATTACCACAAAATTTCCTCCTGAAGAAATTTTACTTTTCGTAAAATCTGACTGAGTTTTCAGGGCAATTTTTCGGCAACCAAAATTTCACCAAAATCACTTTGAGGTACTAGGCGACCAGCAATGCGTAGCAGCTATAATTTTGCACAAGGTACAATTCAAGTACATATATCTCCGCAACGAATGGAGGTATTGCCATGAAACTTACATTATTAGTTAGAAGGAATTTTATAGTTTTACCCTGAAATCGAAACGAATTCCTCTAATATAACTTAGAAAAAATCTAGCATATTTAATAAATGTAATCAAATAAGCTTCCATATGACTCAAAATAAAAACCCCGAACATATAAATGAAATGTTACGACTTAACCTTATGTAACAGTGAAAGAATCACTAAAGTATCTCCATCCATTGTCGAGAAATAACTATTTAAAGTTTGCCTTAAATCATTGTATAGCTGCTACACAGTGCTGGTCGCCTATTACCTCAAAATTCCCTCCAGAAGAAATTATACTTTTCGTAAAATCTGAATTTTCACGTAAAATCTGAATTGACACAAGGTAAAATTCAAGTACGTATATCTCCGCAACGAATGAAGGTATTGCCATGAAACTTGCATTATTAGTTAGAAGGAATTTTATAGTTTTTTCCCTGAGCGAATTCCAAATGAATCCCTCTATTATAACTTAGAAAAAATCTAGCAAATTTAATAAATTTAATCAAAATTTCATCAAAATCACTAACAGTACACAGTGCTGGTCGCCTATTACCTCAAAATTCCCTACTGAAGAAATGTTTAACTTTTCGTTAAATCTGAACCCGGCAACCAAAATTTCATCAAAATCACTTTGAGGTACTAGGCGACCAGCAATGCGTAGCAGCTATAATTTGGCACAAGGTAAAATTCAAATACGTATATCTCCGCATGAAACCATGAAACTTGCATTATTAGTTAGATAGAATTTTCTAGTTTTTCCCTGAGCGAATTTGAAATGAATCCCTCTATTATAACTTAGAAAAATTCTAGCATGTTTAATGAATTTAATCAAATAAGCTTCTTTAAGAATCAAATTAAAAACTCCGAACATATAAATGAAAAGTTACGGTATTACCGTAGCTAACAGTGAAAGAATCACTGAAGTATTTCCATCCGTTGCCGAGAAATAACCATTTAAAATTTACCTTAAATCATTGTATAGCTGCAACACAAGACACACTGTATTTTTTTAACCGTTTAATTGAGCAATTGTTTACAATCACAACACACCCTGTGTAATAACATACATTAAACAAACTCACCACTAACAGCTGTAACTTATTTAAATGTTTCTCTGAATCACCCTGTCACTGTCGTTTTCGCATAAAAAATAAATGTTTATTTGGCCGGGTTGGTCGTGTATAGATAATTCGTAAATAAATTAAATCTAATTGAACAAAGGCCGCACACAGATTGAAATCAATTTAAGAAATTAATAATTTAATATAGAACAGAGAAACAAAAGCAATAACATAAGGAGAGAAGCAAGTAAGAAGCACGATTATTTCGGTAACAATTTACGAGACAGTGCATCAATAATTGTTGTAATTTACATTCAATTAATGATAACAACAACCACTTGATCAACAACAATTCCTTGTTTTATGTTGTAAACAAATTATCAAGATTATCAACTTTTGTTGATTAGAGCAAGTCAATGAATTCAAAGCTGTTCACAAATATTTTTGGTTTTAATATTTTCAAGATTGTAGAAAATGAAGTGGGTTGAGATGGGTGATGTGTAGAAGTCAAAATTTTCCACGTATTAAGAAGTGATACGGAAGTGTAAACATTTGAACAAAATTCTAATTTAATAATGTGCATGTTTGTAATTGTGTGCAATATTGAAAACGTTGAGAGCTAAAGCTTCGAGTTACATATTTAAAATTCCAGAATCTAGTGCAGGTATATTACGCAATTTCTATTGTTTATTAGAGGAGGCACATGTGAATTTAATGATTGTGGAATGCATATTTCCGAGAAGGAATTGGAATTTAAGTCGCTAAGAATTTGTTTTGAAAACGTCAATTTATGATAATGTCAACATTAAATGTGTTTCTCTTTTATTTCAGAAATGGCAAAGCTAGATGAAAAAATTGGTTTCATTGGTGGCGGTAATATGGCATTTGCCATTGGATCTGGATTAATAAATCGTGGAATTGTTAAGACTGGACAGGTCTTGGTATCCGGACCTAATATAGAAAATTTACAAAGATGGCGTGATATTGGTGTCGCCACGACTGATGACAATAATGAGGTGCTAGATAAATCCGATATAATTTTCATTTGTGTTAAGCCGCATATTTTGACACCATGTGCGGTGCAACTGCGTAATAATCATGTACGCACAATTAAGGATAAAGATAAGCTGTTTGTGTCCGTATTGGCGGGAGTTAGCCTACATGATTTGGAGGAGGTAAGTTGTACAAATAAATAAAATAATTCAAATAAAATTGTTTTTTTTTTTCATTTTTAGAATTTCTCTTTCATTGATGGCTTAAAAATGATACGCACCATGCCCAATACACCCATGCAAGTTGGTGAAGGTTGTACGGTATACACTCCTGGCTCCTATGTGGTACAGCAAGATTTGGAAAAAGTCCATTTAATGTTAAATTCTTTGGGTATTGCTCAACAAGTACCCGAGTCAATGATAGATTGTGTTACCGGTGTGTCAGGTTGTGGTCCAGCTTTTGTTTATACCATAATTGAGGCTTTGGCCGATGGTGCTGTTAAAAATGGTGTACCACGTCAAATGGCACTGCAATTTGCTACACAAACTGTTTTGGGTGCTGCAAAAACCGTTATGGTTACCGGTAAACATCCTGCCGTTTTGAGAGATGAAGTCTGCTCGCCCGGTGGTGCTACTATTGTCGGTGTACATGAATTGGAAAAGGGGAATTTGAGGTAATTTAAAACAAAGAAAATGGGAGAGCACAAAACCCTATTATTGAAGACAGAAAAGGGTATCTTGACAGATCAGAAATATTTCTTAAAATGTCAAAGGGTATTATTTTTAAGAAAAAGTAAATTTTTAGTAATGGCCGGAGGGACTAGATTTATGTGAAAAACAAATCATCATATAGAAGACTGTAAAATCTTCCTTAAAAAACTGTAAAATTGCAGAAAAACATGAAATTACTAAAATCTAGTAGTAAAGGGACCTTAAAAGGTTAGAAAAAAATTTCATGGAAGGTCATCTATGGTTTAGAGTAAAATGAAAGAAAAGACAATTTAGAACAAAACTCTATAAGGAGATTTGATTGCTGAAGATTGGAATGTCCAATGTCAAAAATTCTTATTTTCAGACAAAAAGGAAAGCAATAAATTAGATGATCTTATGGTCAAAATATTGGAGAAAGACTAACTATTTAAGATACCAAAGGGTCTTCTAATATAGGAGGTATTCTAATATAGAAGACTAGAAAATTTTATATAGTCTTATAGGTTTTCTAAAATAGAAAATCCGTAGGCCTTCAAATATAGAAGACAAGAATTCCTACTATTTTAGAAGATCAAAATGATTATATTATTGAAAACCAAAATGTATTTCCTTATGAAGACCAGGAGGTTTTTTCGTAATCTGGCTCCTTGGGAATCATTATGGAAACTTTCATTCGTTTCTGGTTGTAAAATTTCACATTTATTCCGCTCCAAATTACAAAATTGGTTCACCTCATTCCCTCAGACAACGTATTGCTTCATTCCGTGGTAATAAATATGTTCTGACCCTCCCTGGTGAAATTATATAGGAAGTATTTTAATACAGAAGAATATATATATATATATATATATATTTTTTTTTTAAACCAGAAGATCGTCTAAAAAGGCCTTCTATTATAGAAAATCCTCAGGTCTTCAGATATAGGAGACAATAATTCCTACTATTAAAGAAGATTAAAATGGATACTATTATTGAAAACCAAAATCTATTTCTTAATGGAGACCATGAGGTTTTTTCTTAACATAGAAAAGAAGGCTGTGATAAACGATCATAAGGTCGTCAAATAAAAATCCATACGATATTTAAAATAATGGCTTCTATTGTAAAAGGTAAAAATGATTTCTTTTGAACCTAGAGGTACCCCGATTATTGAAAACCACAAGATCGCGTTTACTCAAAGACCGAGAATACTTTTGATATAGCAGTCCAGAAGGGTTTCTGATAGACTATACTAGAGTCTTCTGAAATAGAAGAACAAATACCAGAAGAAATTTTTCGCAAATTGTTTTGTGATATATGTCCCAAAAGTCTTATAATATAGAAGATCATACGAGCTTGAAGAAATTATGTGTTCGCACGAAAGATCTAAATGTTTTTTGTAGATGAAAAAGATCACAAAGTATTTTGATAATAATTTGAAGTCTTCTAAACGATCTGATGGTTCTTCTAGGATCTTAAAACGTCTTGTTTTACAGAAGTTTCCTTTCAGTTTAAGCTATGATTAAAATGTAAAAATTTAATATCTTAAATTTCTTTATCTTTCAGATCCACCATCATCAATGCCGTTGAGAAATCCTCTCAACGATCTGCTGAACTTGGACGTAAAGGCAAATAAAGTAAGCCGGACTTACCAATCGAATGCGTACTCCTCCAAATAAAATGAAATATGTGTTTCATGTTTTTATGTGAAATATTTCTATGTTTGCAACATGACATCCCAAAAACCATAAACAAATAAAACATACTCAATTATTTGACTAAATACACGTTATTTTGCTTGCCTTTATTCTCGATCTTTTTTGCTTACATACTCGACACACTTTGAAGGATCTGTTGGAAAATATTCTTGACACTTTGTCATCAAACGTTTCAAGCCCTGTATATATTTACGCTGCGTCTCGTCGTTCATTACATGGGCAACATTTTTGGAGAAAATCTTTTCACGACCTGTACGAGCGTGAATACCAACCATAGTAACACCAATTGGCCATGGGGCATTACCAATAGCCATTTCCAAGTAGGCATCACTGGCCTGTATATAGTTACGATTCAGCAGATGTTTACAAATATCTGTTAAACTTTCCAAAATATCATCGGACAATGAACGATTTTTTAGCTTTCTAAACAGTGGCTTCACATACTCCTTGGTCTGTGTATAAATGACTCTTGTCATTTTAACTTTGGTTGACATTTTTTCTTGTTTCGAATAGCCGGCAATTTGATCATTCCATAATTTAAGTATATATGTCAACAGGGTCATAATGACATCCATATCATATTCCTTATTGTTGCGTCCCATTTTTTGTGCCATCTCCTTTATGCTCTCCCAATCCACTGTCTCATCTAATTCGGCAAATTCGTTTTTCTTTTCCTCTTTTGTGGTCGATGTATTGGCAAACATTTCTTGCAAATATGCCTGATCCACCTGTTCCATGGCCTCTTGGAAATCATTGCGGAAACCTCGATTAGCTTCGGGCTGTGAAATTTCACATTGTCTCAGACGAGAAAATGCCATTGATTCTGTTTCACCAAACAATAAAATTGGTTCACCTCTCTCCCTCAGACGTCGTATTACTTCATTTCGTGGTAATATGTTCTGACCCTCCCCGGTGAAATTATATCCTTCGTGAATGCTTTGATCTGTTTCATTGCTTTCTGGTTTCTTGTAGCCTTGTTTCTGTAGAATTCCTTCATTGTTCTTGGCTATCAAATCTCCTCGTTTGAAGAATTTCTTTTTGTCATCCACCAACTGTTTCTCTTCCAGGAGTTTTCGCTTCCTTGCTATTTCAGCTTTTATAACATCCATTTATTTTGTTTTATATTTTTGTAAGTATAGCAATAAATTCAGCAGTAAATATTTTGTGGAAACGTACTTAATAACAAAACATAAACAATAGTGGTATCTGTCAATTTATTTTTGTTTCACATATGATTTCAGAGTTGTATTTCCTTTGATGAATACAGTGATGGTAGCTCTGTTCGTGTTGCCAACCACCAATACACGGGAAAAAACAAATAATGTTATTTACCACACAAAATTAAAAAATTGGCTAATGAAAACATACATTTATTGTGCAAGAAATTATTGTGGAGGGGCCCGAGCTCTGGCTTTGTTGGTGGTTGTAGATAAATTCCATATAATTTTCTTTCGCTTTAAAACAGCATTGGTATCATGGTACAATTATACAAGGTAGGGTATATTTTGCCAAAAAAGAAAAAATGTCCGAATAAATAGAAATGCAATAAATCGTTCTACATATTTTTAACATATAACTCAAAATGAGAAAAAAATAACGGTACAATTTAGTACACATAAGTGTAAGGATTTCCAAAACTGCATCCATACCTCCATCCTACACCCTATTTCCAAATTTCAGCGTTCCAGCTCTATCGGTTCACCGAAATCCACATTTGGTTCAATTTTGTACACAATATTACCATTCCTACTCCCAAAAAGTGACCCTAACTCCAGATTTCAGGATTCCAGCTCTATTGGTTCACCCAAAAATTAAATTGTACCAAATTTAGTACACATTAGTACGAATTTTCAAAACTATCTACAAACTCCAATTCTACACCCCAACAGTGATTTCAACATCAAATTCAAAGATTCCAGCTCCATCGGTTCATCCAAATCTAAATATAATACCATTTAGTACACATTAGTACGAAATTCTAAAACTTTCTACATAGCCCAATCCTACACCCCGAAAGTGATCCTAACTTCAAATTTCAAGATTCCAGCTCTATCGATTCATTTCCAGCCAAATTTGGTACCATTTCAAATACTATAATTGGTACAATTCGGATTTGAGTGAACCGTTAGAGCTGGGATCCTGACATATTGGAGTTATGATAATAGGGGTATGTACATACACTCAAATTCGAATTGTACCAATTATAGTACGATTTAGTACTTTTTGTACACATAAGTAAAAAAATTCCAATCCAACACTCCGACGGTAATGCTAATTTCAAATTTCAGCTCCAATCCAGCTCCATTTGTACCTCCAATTACAAAATTGTACAAAATATAGTATTTTTCGTATACAAAGGTACACGCTTGTAAAACCACCTCCATAGGTCGACCCTACTTCTCAACCTCAATTCTCATTCCAAATTTCCAATTTGCTTTATCCATTTACATGCTACGAAATTGTACAAAATTTAGTAACTTTTATTACTTTTCGAATACTTATAGTTCGAATGTCAAAAAAAAAAAAAAAAATACTTTTTAGTAATTTTCATACCTCAATTCGTATTCCAAATTTCCCGTTTTTTGATATATCTATTTACATGCTACGAAATTGTACAAAATTTAGTACATTTTATTACTTTTCGGATACTTATAGTTCGAATGTCAAAAAAAAAAAATAAAAACATTGCTATAGCTATTCTAAACTCCATCAGAGAACCTCATTTCAAATTTAAGAGATCTAGCTCTTCCGGTTCGCCAAATACTTTTTAGTAATTTTCATACCGTCCAAATGTTTCGGCATTAGGTTGCATGGTCTGTTCAGAGTTTAGTCTTATTTTATCTAGCAACAATAGCGATTGGTAGCAGTGCTGGCGATTTTACGAAAATTTGTCTTGGATACCCAAGAATCTTAGTGGGTTAAAAAGTCGGGCTGTTGACGGAAATGATTGGTGGTCTGAACCAAGCATTTATCTTTTAACGATTCATTCCATATTTGGTTAGTTATTTTAATAACAATTTACTTTGTTTTGTTAGAGTTACAAATAGAAATTTACACAATTGCCGAATTAAGTCCCAAATTAAAAAAAATGGCCTCTCATAAAAAAATAACATTTTTAGAGACAAATTTTAAATGAAACGTGCGAAATTATAGCGATTTGATACTAATATGCACTTAAAGTCTATGTACTACATTTGTTAAAGAACTCTAATAGTAACTCTCTAAGAACAGAGTTATTCTTAGTAAAACTTTGTAAATGCCTTGACTATGAAATCAGAATTGGAAACATGTATATATAAGCACACATCCGACGATATGTCACACATTCAATTCACATAGTCTAAAGCCACCATGTTCTGTATGGTATACAATTATTCAGTGATTTGGCAACGCATCACACTTGACATTTGGCAATATTGTTTTTGTTTCTTTTTTTTTTTGCAACAGACTTGGCACTTGCAAACTTCCACAAAATTCTACGAGGACTTCTTTTACAAACGACTTCAATTACAAAATGCCTAAGAAGATGGGAATAAATAGTAAGGCCGTTGAGGCACGTGAACGCAAGGCTGCTGCAAAACAGGCTACTCAATCGAAACTTGCCAAGGAAGCAGAAGATCGTCTTTGGAAGGATGATGATAAAACTTTGGCCAAGAAGCAGCAAAAACGTGAAGAGGAAGAACGGAAACGAGCTGAGGCAGCCAGGAGGAAGGCAGAAGCAAAGGCACTATTGGATCAAGAAATGAATTCCATTAAAACACAGGGTAAACAACCATTGGCGAAAATCAATCGTCAACAGGTCTTGGAAGAAATGGAAAAGAAACAGAGGGCACTGGAAGCCATTGCAGCGGCTAATAAGCCACAGGCTCGTGTTGTGGTCCAGACAAATTATATTGAAGAGAATCTTAATAGATCCATGGCCGATGTTGAGGTTGCCTCCACTGTTGATCAGGCTTTGGCGGTGCTGAGGTTGGTATTTGTGTTATTTTCTCTTTAGTACACATACAATAAATTTTAATTTCTTTACAGTGTCAAGGACGATGAAGAAGATAAACATCCCGAGAAACGTATGAGAGCCGCCTACAAGGCATTTGAAGCTGCAAACCTGCCTCGCATTAAAGCTGAAAATCCATCTTTGCGTTTGTCCCAATGGAAACAAATTCTAATGAAAGAATGGAACAAATCACCCGATAATCCATTCAATCAGGCTCGTTAAAATAATAAGGCAAAGGGGCTGTGTCATGATTTTATTTTGTTCTCGCAAACGGTTAGGAATTCCTGCCTGCGTCATAAACTATATTTTGTTTGCAAATTATTCATATAATCATATATTGATATATTTAAATTTAATTTATATTAGTTTACATAGACTGTTGCTTTCCTTCCCAAATTGTTTTCATTTATTTTTTAATATTGTTTATTAAGTAACATAGAACTCATATAGAATTTATTAAATTTATGAAAATAAAAAAATAGATATTTATTTTGTAATACAAATGATTATTATTTAAAAATTATGACTCACAAAAAAACCTCATTAAACAAGGATTTTACAGTTGTAGTAGACCAGGAATACATCCATATTGTCCAACATTTATGTAGTATAAGAAGATTGTGACTGGATTGGGAGTGAGGCCAACCAAGTATATTTTCATCCATAGAAGAGAAAATGTGTAAGTAAATTACCAAAAATAAGTGCCTTGAATGTGATACTAACAGGATCAGTTTTAGAACTTCCTTAGAAAAGGACACACTGTTATGCGTATATATAGAAGTTGGAAGGGCTTCCGCCAAAAAAAATTGAAAAAATTTTAGAATATTGTTGAGTGCTGGTTTTTTTATAATTTAAAAAAGAAATGTTGGGCTGATCGCTAAGAAATATAGCTGACCACTAATTCGAATATAACCAATGTAAAAAGAGGACCTGTCGACCTCTAAAACTAAAATCTTGAAATTTGGTGTGAGGGTCAATCTTGGTCCAAAGGTGTCAGATAAGGCTGGGTTTTTAGAAATCCATACACAACGGCACGAAAAGTATTAAATACCATTTGCATTTGGCGAACAAGTAGTGTTAGAATACATAAATTTTAAGTGAGGGTCACTGATAGAGTATAATAGTAGAGCGAAGGTTTCTTTGCACGTTCGAACTATAAGTATACGAAAAGTACAAAAATGTACTACATTTGGTACAAGTTACTAAATTTGGTAAATACGTGGTTTTGAAAGTGTGTACTCATGTATACGAAAAGTAGTAAAAAGTACTAAATTATATTCTGAAATATGGAGTTATACTCATTCATGGGGTGTAGGATTGGGGTATCGAGGAAGTTTTGAAAATTCGTACTGTGGGTGAACCGATAGAGCTGAAATCCTGAAATTTAAAGTTAATGTCACTGTTGGGGTGTAGTATTGGGATATGTAAAAGTTTACTAAATGGTACCAAATGTGGATTTAAGTGAACCGATAGAGCTAAAATTTTAAAATTTGGAGTTAGGGCCACTTTTGAGTTATTGGATTGGGATATGTAGGAAGTTTTGGAAATTTGTACTAATGAGTACTAAATGGCACCAAATGTGGATTTGGGCGAGGCGATAGAGTTGGAACACTGAAATTTGAAAAGACAGGTTGCTGTTGGAGTTTAGAATGCAATTTTAGAAATTCATACTTATGGGTACTAAATTTGGAATAATTTTAATTTTGGGTGAACCGATAGAGCTTGGATCCTGGAATTTGAAGTTAGGATAATTGTTGTGGTGTAGGATTAAGATATGTAGGAATTTTTGGAAATTTGTACTAAATGGTACAATTATATTTGGGTGAAGCGATTGGGTTGGAATCCTGAAATTGGGAAATATGACTTCTATTGGATTTATATTCATGTGTACTAAATGGTACCAAATTTGGGAAAATTAATACGTTAAGACATGTCTAAATATTTCCCACATTCGCAAACGAAGTAGCGGGCAAATGTTAGTACTAAAAATGGTAGAAAATTACTTTGGCAAATGGACGTGCATTACATTGACGACTTGTAACTTTGTATGTAAGTACTTGAAGACTTAAAGGATAAGAAAATGACTTGACATAGTTTTGTTATTTAGTAGTTGTTTTTGTAATTAACAAAAAGTCCTTCTTTTCAGCCGATTCCAACAATTCCAATTGCATTTGAAAGTGTACATGTCTGGCTCTGGTATGAATGGTGGACATATGAAATTTATTTTTTTTTTACTCCCTATTTTCTACCACAAGTCGAAGATCCTAACCGATTACATTTTTCCAAGTTCATAGGATAGCTATCGTACATATGCACATAATGTGTTAAAATTTGAAATGGATTGGATTAAATTGACTATATCTTCCACTTATCACTTAAAATTTGAAAGGAACATTCTAAAATTAGTGTATTTCTTTAATCGGTCATCTTTAGTCATCTATATTTTGTTAACCCTTGGTGGCCCGAGTTTTTCCCGTGCCAATAGAAGTATTTTCTGGGCACAGATTTAATTTAACTATCCTAAATAGGATATGACCAAAATTTGACGTCGCTACATCCTTGCATTCGGAAGATACAGTACCTTCTTTCCGAAAAAAAATAAAAAACAAAAGCAAATGCAATATCGACGAAAAAATCACTTTTAATTATTCTTTAGGTTCAACAACAATTTAGAGGGTACAATTCGTACCTTTCGAATACGAAGCGATTCAAATATTTTGGACGTGTGTACAGTCCAAAATATTTGGTACTGTACATATTTGTGCACTAATCTACGTATTGAAAAGCGTATAAGATGACCAAAAATTCGAATTTTTTAGATTTTTCTTTTGATATGTGTCGTCCATAATCAGCTCTTAATATATGTAATCCAAAAATATATATTTACTTGCCGCGTATTAATCCTTTCAGTGTTTTTGTCGAATATATTCGACATTTAAAAGTACTCTCTTTCTTTGCGATTTTTCTGTTATCCTATGTACCGTTACTATTGATGTTTTTGTTTTTGCTGAAAAACAGACGAACCTGGCCGAGGGTTAAAATTAACATTGCTATTTTTTTTCTAAACTCTATGCCTTAATATGACCTTAAATACAACATTTTAGATTTTTAATCAGACAAAAAAATTTTTTTTTGACACTGACAGGGTTAAATATAAGCTCTAGAACATTTTGATGCCTGTGGGCAACATTGGGCCATAAAGGGTTAAACCTCGATCCATATTTATCTTAGCAAATTTTAAATTTTTTTCAAGTCGACAAAATTTGTTGCAGTGCTTGTACTGTTAAAACTATTACTGAACTCTTATCTGCTTTTAACATTTAAGACATTAAGTATCTTCCATCAGTCCAAATTATATTCGATTTTAGAATATTATATTTGCATTATTACAGAAGGTTCCAAATCTGAAAAGTAAGATTCATTATTTGTAACTTTTTTTTATATATTTATAAGTAGATCTAAAAATTAGTTCTTGCAGGTTCGCGAACAGAGCAATATATATTTTTTATTATTTTTATTTAACAACTACGATAACAAATTTTCATTAATGATATGGAAAAAACAGACCAAATAATTGTACATTCATACATTTTGTTGATGTCATCTATATTCATTTCTAAAATCTGGTGGTCTAATTTTTTAATAACAATTTTTTTGGAAAACTTCGTTCCCAATTTTTGCAAACTAATAAGTAAATTTTGCTAGTAATCAACAGCTTAACCATTATTTTTCATTACGGCAGCACAACTACGAGGCATTGATTCAATAAAACGCTTAATTTGATCCCTGTATGTACTATTCCTCTCATCCTGAATCTTTGGCAAGAGGTTATGTTTGTTTGTGAAATTCATTTTTATTTTGATATTTATGATACTCCAAAGATTTTTTTGTAGGGGGAAGAACTGATGACTGTGTTGTCCATTATAATGGATTATAATTATTAAGACGTTTGGAACACATTTGTATGTTATATATTAAATCTCGTATTTTAATGTAACTTCATAAAAATAAAAACATCTTCATAACATAATTGACGACATTTAACAACTTTTTAATTTTAGTTGCTTCTGTTTCGGAAATGATTATTTTGATGCGTTACACACGATATTAAGAAATATACCCTCTATAGAGCAGAGTATAAAATTGTTAGAACATCTGAAGATGTGAGATTAGTCTTCGAATACATTTTGCAGAATTTATTTCTGAAAACATATATTTTTTTCCTTGAGGAGCAACACTTAAATACCATTGTTGTTGTTGTAGTTAAGTAAACCAAATTTGGTTTATTTTAATAGGTGTTTAACACACTTTTACAAAAAACGCTGAGCACCCATTTCATTTTTCAGAGTGGAATTTCATTGCATTACTTATCTGACACGTTGAACACCAATTTGATTGTTATTATCAAATGTTTAATATAAATTAAAGTAAAAGTCTTATATAATCCTCTTAAAATTGTGTGTGTGCCAGTTTGTGCTGTAAAATTTAAAACCTGTAATGACAATGGCTTTTACAAGAAAACAAAGGCAATAATCATCAAATTTCAAAACATTCACACGAAATATAAATGTTAAATGGGGCGCGTTATCATCAATGAAGTTTTTATGTTTGGGGGCTTGACTTAAAAAAAGAAATAAATCAATTAAAAAAGGGCATCGCTTGAGTAGTTCCAAATGTTACAAATAAATTAAAATACATATAGGATTAATTGACACTATTAAGATCATTTGTATGACATATTATTGGGGGCTTTTATACGGTTATCGGATTTTCTTGTTTTATTATCCCTGGTCAAAAGAAGAAAAATTAAATTTGAAAAACAAAACAAGTGCATTTAAAAAAATGACTAACAGAGTACGTACGCACTCAAAGTCAAGTGAAGTCCGCCGTGAGAGTTTGGGTGAGGTAAGTTAAGCCAGAAAAAAAAAACTAAGAAGTAAAAAAAAAACAAACTCCATCAGTTATGGAAACAGTCACTCAGTTGGTCGACGGACACATCATTGATGGCCCTCGCCTCGATGTGCTGCGTTACATCAAAGAAATGATAGTGAAAGCGGAAGTCACCGTTATGATTGTTGTGACCAACAGCTCAATTCCGTACAATGGTCATCGTCACTGTGGACAATGTGTCGATAAAGTTGAAAATAAAATCATAAGCAAAAAGAAAAAACTATATATTCGGTGATGACTTAACAATTTTTTTTTACTTCGTTTTTGGTGGGCTATAAAAATACT